TATTTATCCATTTAAGTAAAACGAAATAAGAGGAAAATGTTGTTGAGATACATTTTTCGGTCACTGTAAATGTTGATAACGACTGCAAAAAAAAAACTTCTTTAAAAATACTATTAAGTATATATAAATCAAAATTTATTACAATTACTCATTCTATTATTATCAAAGAAAAATTACAATAACATTTTTTACTATTTTTACAAACTATATAAATTACTAAACAATTTATCTATTATTCAAAATGCTGAACTAATATAAAGTTTAGCTAACGTGTTTACTTATAACGAGTTTTGCAACAATTTTAATTCGACCCAGAAATTCTGCGCTCAAACCAATTGAGTTCTCCTGCACACAAAAAGTGGGTCTTTAAACATTCAAAATTTGCGTAATTGACTAGAAATTGGTATTAGCCCCGCACATACGTGGTTTTTGGCCCTGCGCACAATTTGCCAAATTGCGTGGATACTACTAACAAAAATAAAACATAGAAGAAAAAAACATAAAAACACGCTCAAATTTCCCCTAAAAATTGCTATCTAAATTGCAAATTTCGCGGCCGGCGTAATTGAAAACATAAACCGCCGGTTGGTTTTTCCCGCCCGGTTTTCCAGGGCCTCCCTTGGATTTTAAGCTTGACTACCGTTCGCCATTTTTAGTTATGCAGCATGGGCAGCAAATTAAATGAAAATCGAGCTAAAAATAGCCGGTTGAATGTGTCGCCGCCATCCAGTAGATATTCTTGCCACCTCCCATTTTCTACATTTTCCCAGCCGTTTTCCCCCATCGTCACTTTCCATCTTTCAGCGGTACAATTACAAGAGCGTTGGGGCAAAATGCCTCAATTTACGGCAAAATGGCCGTCATCGATTTCCGCTTTCGTGTTATTCGATATGTATTTCACTGCACTGAGAATTAAAAAAGATAATCAGTTTTTACTAAACGATTAAAATCAAAACAAAAATGAATTCTTATTAAGAAATGGGAGGCCAAGTGGTTATTAAGAAGTTACATAATTTTAACTAAATTTCTCTTTAACTTATTTATGATTTTGCGAGTGATAAAAATGATTTTGCTCTGTGTAAAAGGGGGAACGTAATGTGCGTGTATTGGATGAAATGATTTCGCCGTTCGGTTTACTCTTTCACTTTGTTACTCGTATCGTCGGCTTTTCATTTTTATGTATTTGACATTTTGCGTTCTGCGTTCAAAATGTCATCAAAATATGCATAAATTTTGCGTGTCTTTCTGTGTACGTGTGTGCGTGGTTTGAGTTGAATACATGTAGCTCAATATTTGCCAGCATTAAACTACATTCGTATTAACATAATGTGTCAGGCGCAAAATGTTCGGAATATTTAACCAGGTTTACAGACGCACAACAAGATATGGGTCGAAATACACACCCACCCATTTTCTGTGGGTTTAATGATAATGTACAGTGGCATTATGCTTGGGTTTATGAGTGCAACCTGGTTATAATTACTTGGAAAGCCTTATTGTTAATTAAACTGAGCTCAACCATTAAGATTAATACCCTTTTATTACTAGCATGATTTTAATATAATTGTCAAATAGCTTAGAACGCTTGAAATTGTTTGCGATTTCCTTAGGTTCTATTATTCTACTACTCAAGCTTTCTTATATCTGTTAAAATAGTCAACAGGAATCATAAATTCAATGCTTAGGTGCCGCAGTAAATAATTCTGCAATGGTAAAGAGCCTTAAGCGATTGCCGTGGCATCTATAAATATGATATTGAATGATGGCAAAACCCCTGATGGTTTGCCACTGCAACCATTATCCTAATTACACAAGCACACACACACACACACACATACACTCGCAATCTGGTCCCTCCTTACACATATCCTCACATCGAGAAAGTCATAGAGAACTTTCAGTTGACTGAAAAATATGACGACAAGTTGACGCAACTCGGCGAACTGTCAGGCCAAGATGAGGCATTTTTCCAGCTGAGGGATTTCGCTTCTCCGCTGCCAGGACTTCTCGTTTATTCGTGTTCCTTCAGCTGTCAGTCGGTGCACATCGCTTCCGCCGCTTAAGGGCACTGGAAGAAAATGGTTCCCCAAATTAGATAGCTATACTAATTTTAAAAAACATTTTTCCTAATTTAATTGCTCTAAAATAGTAGTAGTAGTATTTTAAAATATGTATAGGTTAATCGCTTTGAGTATTGTAAAATGAATTTTTTTTGGAAATTCTGTTGATTACTTAAACTTTTTTTTCGAGTGCTTAAATTCATGAATAGAAAGGGCCAGAGAGCCAACGTAAACGAGACGGGGATAACAAGTGAGGCACGTCACGTATGTTTTTGTGCCCAGGCATTCGCATAAACATTCCTGGTCGGGATCTCGAGCTGCTCCTTGTCCTCTGCTTTGTCTCCTCCCCCTATCCCCTTTCCTTGCCTGCATCCTCGTATCCTGGCTTCTCATCCAGGACATTGGCATTGACAGGCTCGCGTCGCTTTGCGTTAAATGTCAGCGCTGCCTTTGGCCCCACTTTTTCTCTTTTTCGCCGGGGTCACGGCGATTGACCTTCCATTCATCATCCAACGAGGTTGTTTGCCCAAGCACTCTTGTGTGAGTTTCCCGCTGGGTCCTTTCCCGCTGTCCATTGATGTTTACCGCATTTGTTTATCGATTGGGCCAGGAAAGAGTCGCGAGTTTTGGGTTACTGAAACAACAGGAAGGATATCGGGGAACAGGGACTTTGGTGGATCTGTAATTATCCCCTCAAATGAACCAGAACTGTAGGTTAGTTCCTTGGGGAGGAAATCTGCGTACCTAAATATAATCATACTCTTTTGTAAAACAAAACTGTACGTAGTTTCCTTACATATATAAAATATATAATATATTAATACGTTTAGGTATACTGTTCAAAAATGGTTGTTAATATACAGATATTTCTAGTCCTAGTTCAAAAAGGATTCTTCTCTACACTCTTCACTGAGTTCAAAGTGAACCTCGAACTCTATAATGATGGGAATTATTCTTTTTTTTCAAAGTCTACACTTGGGCGCCACACTTCCGTTTCCCCCACTTTTTAAGCCTTTGTGTGGGTGAGGAGATAAATGTCGGAGAAAATGAGCAACCGAATAACTGTAAATAAGCAGTGAAGGAATGCGACAACATCCTCGGTTGATAAGAAATTCTCCCTCGTTTCCTTGTAACTTCCCTTCACTTTTTTTTGACACAAAAGGCAACAAATGAAAGACAAAAATGCTTGTGTAATGAAAGACTCGAGCAACATAATAAATAATGACAAGGACTCCGAACTCCCCATTTTGCGCATTTTCTCAAGCTCCTCTCATTACTTTTTGGGTTTTCCAATGCACTTCGAGCGAAAGGATGACAATTAGAAACCGGTTTTCGGAGAGTCATCAACGTGCATGGGAAAACTCAACAAGCAGCTTTTCCTTTCCCCAAATTTTTCTTAACCATGAAAAATGAGCAGCGAAAAGATACAAGTGGGAATCAAGTGGAAAGCAAAAAGGAGGACTTAAAACTTTGAATTTGATGAAAAGTTTTGGTGACGAAAAGTCTGGAAAAGCCTTTTGCCCAGCGATTCATTCATGATGTACTTAATCTATTATTTATTTATTGTAAAACTTTATTTAAAGGGAGATAATTTGGTCAGCTTTGAAAAGCGATTTGCAAAATAAAATTTAATTTTGAAACGTTTCGATTTGCCAATTTTAATTAGGGGTTAATCAATTTAACAAAGCCATGAGCCACATTCTATATTAAGTTGTCACAGACATATCGGAATCTTGACAGGAAAATTAAATGCGATATCATCCTAGGAGGATAATTAACAGGGCATTATAGCAAAAACGAAAAATTTGTACCTAGCCTATTTTTCAATTTACGAGATAATCCTTAATAATATCAATTATAAATGATTAACAAAAAGAGGCAATAATAAAAACCAATCGCTATTTAGGCCACGGACAGCCCCCCCGTTTAGCATGTTAAATTGTTTGTGTACATCAAAACAAAAAGCATTTAATAAATTATTGAAAAACGAGCCGCAAGCAAAAACCCAACACAAATGTCGACATAAAAGCAGAAAAATGTTGGAACACGAAAATGGTTTTAATGACCAAAGGCAAACAAATCGTAGGGGGAAAACAACTATCATATGCCGGGAAAATGTGTGCCTGGACCGGAAACTCACACATGGACAGGCCGGTAGCAAACTTTTTGGCCAGCTCCTCACTGTTTTGGCCCCCAAAACACCCACGGCACTTTAACCGGTTCCGTTTTAATTGTTACCGCCTTCTTCCGCTCGCAAAATGCTTTCCAAATTAATTAATGGCATTGTCTGTCTTTGGCAATTTGCCACGCCCACACACACAAACTATAAATTGAATTTTCTTATGCGTTGCTGGCAAAAACGGAGTGCGAAGAAAAATTATTTGGCTTGAGAAAATGTGTGTTAGCAGAAGGAGTGAGGCGAGAAAAATCGAAAGGGGCCAAGTCAGCGGAGGAGAAGCCAAGCAACTTGCCAGGCCGAAAATCCTTTTTTAATTAAATTTTCTGTACATTTTGCAGTTTTTAGGTTTGAGCCCGGGCGGCGGGCGACTTTTCCTCGCCAACCCATGTCGCTCATATGTGACGAAAGGAAAACTCATGCGGTTTTCCAACGGTTTCAAGTAGTCGAAGGAGTAACCGAAGACAAAGTTTCCACTGGCGACATTCTGGCTGCAAACTCAAACTCCCTCTCGTTTTTGTGTCAAGTTAATCCAATTAGTTGTTTGAGAACGTAGTTTGCACTTTGATTCCGGCCATAAGCCATCTGCGCCAAGACTCGCTGCTAAACTCGAAATCCTCAACTAAATTGGACTATCCGGAGACGGATGAGTATTGGTATTAATAACAGCTTTTTGGGTTCTGCTCGTGATTAAAGTAAATATTTATTATTTTTTTTACACTTTTTCCACACTGTTGTTCGAAATTTTTTAAACATAAATGTAAAAAATGTATTGTACAACAAAAAAAGTAACTTAAGCAACAAGGCAACATTTTTTTGTTGTACAATACATTTTTACATTTATGTTTAAAAATTTCAATCTGAAATTTTGTGTTGCGTTAGTAAATATAATCATAATCCGAATCATTATCGTCTGTATTGGGGCAATCGTTCGAGTTTTCAACTAAATGTTGTTGCTTTTGCTCATTAGTTAGTTTTTTTGAATTTGTAAGTGTTTCCTTTTGCTTTAGGTAAAACTGATAGCATGAGCTGCTGGGATCGAAAAAGGGAAGCATACTCTTAATGGCTACAATACGAAAATCGATTTGTTGTTCCAGCGTTATACGCAGTCGATCGTAGGCTTCAAAGTCTGACTTCAAGTCAAACTTTTCTTCTATGTGGGTTTTATCCTTTTTAATCGCTTCGCGAATTTTAACCAGGTAAGCTGAAAATTCAGAGTTTCCACTGCAATCAGAACCATGTTTGGAAACAATTTTTTCAAGTTCGGCGTTTATCTTGTCATTAAGTTTATCCATCTGAGAAATATACTTTTAAATAGTGTATTTTTATATTGTTTAAGGACTATACCTCATCCTTTTTTTCCTGTGAAATAAACTTTTATTATTATTATTATAAATATTATATTGTTTAAGGACCATACCTCTTTTTTTGGTGACTTTGTCGTGACTTGTGCGGTCTGAAATATGTATTTTTTTCATAATGTATTATATATATTATATTGTTTAAGGACAATACCTCTGTTGTTGGTGACTTTGTCGTGACTTCTGCGCTCTGAAATATGTATTTTTTTTATAATGTATTATATATATTATATTGTTTAAGGACTATACCTCTGTTGTTGGTGACTTTGTCGTGACTTCTGCGCTCTGAAATATGTATTTTTTTTTATAATGTGTTATATATATTATATTGTTTGAGGACTATACCTCTGTTGTTGGTGACTTTGTCGTGACTTCTGCGCTCTAAAAAATATGTATTTTTTACATAATGTATTATATATATTATATTGTTTAAGGACTATACCTCTGCTGTTGATTGCGAGACTAATACGCTCTGAAATATGTATTTTTTTCATAATGTATTATATATATTATATTGTTTAAGGACTATACCTCTGCTGTTGATTGCGAGACTGATACGCTCTGAAATATGTATTTTTTTCATAATGTATTATATATATTATATTGTTTAAGGACTATACCTCTGTTGGTGATTGCGAGACTGATACGCTCTGAAATATGTATTTTTTTTCATAATGTATTATATATATAATATTGTTTAAGGACTATACCTCTGCTGGTGATTGCGAGACTGATACGCTCTGAAATATGTATTTTTTTCATAATGTATTATATATATAATATTGTTTAAGGACTATACCTCTGCTGGTGATTGCGAGACTGATACGCTCTGAAATATGTATTTTTTTCATAATGTATTATATATATTATATTGTTTAAGGACTATACCTCTGTTGGTGAATTTGTCGTGACTTCTGCGCTCTGAAATATGTATTTTTTTTATAATGTTTTATATATATTATATTGTTAAAGGACTATACCACAACTCCTATTGCTCTGAAAACAATGTTCAGGACTAAGATACTCCACAACAAATTCATTTTCCAACTTGTTGACTAAAACACTTTAGAATTTTGAACTTAGCGCAGTGCTTTTATAGGTGTCGAACATGCGCCGTAATTTCTTATAAAGATAAACCTAATAGAAAATTCCTCTGAGCTTGATAACTCTACATTTTCGTGCCTTACTGCAAAGTTTCCTAGTGTTAGGTAACTTTTAGAAAGCATACGAAATAATTAAGCTGTTAGACTAATTCATTTATTTAGCAACTGCTGTTATCTGCAAAGTATTTTAAATAGTGTTAACAGACAATGTTCGACGATATTTCGACTATCAGGATGATTAATTGTGTATATTCATATGTAATGCATTATAACTTTTTCAGTTCTCTTTAAGTGATCTCCCTCGTTGTTTTTCACTCTCCTGCATTTGGAATTTCTCTCTGTTTGCGTGCGGTATAATCCACAGTTACACTTCGCTTATCAGTTGTCAACAGCTCTAGATCCATATAGTGTACTCTACGTACCGAACTGTGGGGTCTTTGGATCCTAAAAACATTAAAACAAAATTTTAAAAATACACGCAACATTTGTTATCTTTCTAAATTTTAGCAAAAGATTCTACCTTATAAAATGTATTACCTTTTAAGCAATTTATGGCTCTATTTACATTCAAATGGTGACTTCACCCTTACATTTTGAAAGCCACAATCCAAGATTGTTTTGCAATTAAATTTTAAATATGTACAAACAAGCTCTAAGGTGGAAGTGGAAAATAATAATATCTGTGAAAATCCAGTCGACATTTAATGAGTATTGGAAGGGTATTCCGACTCTCACCCGGACTTAACCCATTGATTAATACCTTATCTGCAGCAGATGCTGTGCGAGTGGGGTTAAATCCGACCCTCGTCCCCTTTCCCCTCGAATTCATGGGCATGACGAGCATTTTTATGACACGGCAGCTCAAAGCTTTTTAAAATGTTGTTTCAAAATTAAGCAAAAGAAGAAAAGCAGAGCGACGGGAAAGGAGATCTGCTGGTAGAATAATGGAGCTGTCCGCAGCATTCTACGGAGCCCGCTTTGTCCGGGCTTCTCAGTACGGGTTTTGCAGCCGAAACAGTGTGACACTCTGCGTCCGGTATGCGTTGGCTCTCCGGAAGCGAAATTAATTACAAAATATTTGCAGCTCGTAATTTCATTCTGTGTGCTTACTCAATTGCAGGCGGCCACACCGAAAGCGGCAGAAACCACCCACACATCAGCCCCGTCGGCTGCATCCACAGCTGCCACGCCCCCCCGCAACGGCGGCCACTTCCGCCCCCCGGCGACGGAAATTGAACAGCTGCAGCAGGCGTTAATCGAAAAGCAGACGCAGCTCTTCGCCTTGGAGTCGGCCTGTCTGCGGGAGAGCGAGCGGCAGGTGGAGCTCGAGGACAGCGTGATCGCGTGGCAGGACAAGTACGATCGGCTCTACGAGTCGCACAAGCGGGTGCAGAAGGTCAACCAGAGCCTGGAGGACAAGATGCTCAAGCTGGTCGACCGGAACGCCGGCGAGCGGGCCCAGCTGACCAGCGATGTGGCCACTCTGAGTGTCCGGCTCGCCCAGGCCAACTTCAACATCGCCAAGCTGCAGAGGGAAATCGTAAGTACCCGTATTGTCTTTATAAAAGTTTTCCTAATAATGGGGGAAAGGGTTCAGTAAACCTTTTCTCAGAAGAAATGTGTGTAAGCCAGGTGGTTTTATATTATCCATGATAAACAGTTAATCGAGTAGTTACTCGTACAATAGTTGTTTTAATTAAAATAAACTGATTATAGTTTTAAGTCGCTTAAATAGATTGCAGAATCTGTAAAAAGTTCTCTTATCTCTCCCAGAAAACAAAAAAAAACCTGTTGTATGAAGTCACTTATGAATTTAAAGAGCTTTCAAAGCGATTTTTTGTGAATGAATTTCTTGTTAGTTGCGCATTAATGAACAGGTTATAGGTTTATAACGTGCAAATGTTAAAAGGTCATTAACTAGTAATGAAATACGTGTTCTAAAGATTTGTCGAAGTACTGATTAGAAGGGCAATAAAGACCTTTAACTACTCTTGAATATTAGCTTCCACTTTTAGCGAAAAAAGTACTTTCCAAAGTCTTTCGACTTCAGTTCATTCCCTTACAATGTTGCAGTGAAAAAGCGCGTCAGCCCGAAGAGCTTAGAGGGATTTCCGATTTGTTCAAGTCCAAGTCCCGAATATAACAGCTGCCACAACCAGTTGAAGCCCCCGAAATCCTGCACTTTCCTCGGATTTCATGCAACCGACTAATTGGCCGCCGAGTTCTGAGAGGAAACACCAACACACTTAAGTCTGGCTCCGAATTCGGGGTGTTTTCCCTTTTTTTGGCGGGGGAGGCAGACCACTGCAACTTTAAGCCTTCAACGGAGTGGTTGGATGAGGGGGCTGAAGTCTAAACAAATGAAAGGCGGCAAAGCGTTAAAAACTCTGAGTTGCCCTTCTACTTACGACAACTTTGCACACTCCGTTTCGTAGTGTGGGTAAAACTAGAAAAGTTTTCCAATTCAGTTTTGTTTCTGCCATGCTGCGAAAAATACGAATATCTGCTCGAAAAAAGTTTTCAATTAACGCAAAACAGTAAAAATGCACTCCGATGAAAGGGGAGGTTGCATTGGGGGCTGGCTGGGAAACCTTTTAACCGAACTGTCCTGCGGGTGTCCTAGGTGTTCGGGCGAGGTGATTGCGCAAAACGATAGACCATGTTGCAAGCAATTAGTGGCACATTGGGCGAAGCGATTACACTGAGGAGAAATAAACTAGAACAATCAAAATACTTGAAAAAATCTATTTAATTAGACAAGTGGAAACTATAATATAATATCACCCAAACATACATATGTCCTAAAATATTTCTTAAGTTTGACAAGCATTTAAACTATTACAAAAAGAATAGGAGGAATATTTTACTTAATAATTGGTTCTCTAGTGATTGGATTTTGAATTTGTAATTTCCTAATTGCATTGTTTCAGTTTTAATTTTAAGTGCAAGCCAACAAGAGGTGGAAATGAGGAAAGGGGGAGGGAAAACAGAAATTGAGGAGGTGCTACAGCTGCAACTGCTTTATTAACTTGTTTTTTTCCGCCTTTGTTTTTTTCCTCGTCGCTTTTTCGTCGCTGCGTCGAGTGTTTGCGCAAATTAATACTTAAAAAGCATTTCCACCTCTTCAAAGTTGCGCAGTTTCTGTTACGTTCCGCTTGACTTTGCTTTGTTTTTCTGTTGCTGTTGCTGTTTTTGTGCAGCGTTTTATTTTTGTCCTGGCTGGCGCTCTTTATGCTTTTTGTGCTTCTCAAGGAGGCGCCTGCAAGTATGCAATGCCTTTTAAGCGGTTTTGGACCCGCTTGAAGGATCCAATGATGTTTTCAAGGGGTTTTGTCACACACAAGTGGCGGGACTTGCATTTTGATTGCTGGGTGGCAATCCGAAGTGGCTCGCCAAAGTTTTATTGGTGATCAAAAATAATTGAGCTTTTGTTTTGAGCGCTCAGAAATTGATGACTGCTTTTGAGGAGACAGACCTTAAAATTTTAAAACTTAAGCCCAGATTTTATGTTTCATTCAATTTATATGGTTTGAGATATGGACAAATTGATTAAGAGTTGGTTAGAAGCTGTTTAATGGGTTATAAAGAAGGGGCCACACAACGTATACGTGATATTCAATCTTTATAGATCTATGGTTTAAAACTTTAAAAGTAACAAACCCTTAAAAATACGGTAAAGTCACAAGTTTTAAGCTTTCTCTTTAAAGTAGTGTATTTCAGCCACCATAATTCCCAGCTTTCAGATCATTTTTCATTCTGCATTTTTTCGCCGTCTGTTTGCCAGCAAGTCTACGAATTTCTGAAGTGAACGAATCAGACGAGACAGAAATGCAGATGGAGAGTTTGGGGAGCGGAGAGCGGTGAGTGGAGAATGAAGAGTGGAGAGTGGAAACAACAATGTCAATAACCTTTTTGCCAGTTTTCGTTCAGTTCTTGGCCCGTCGTTCTTCCTCTTCTTCCTGTCGACTTCCTAGCAATCCGGCTGATAAAAAATCAGCACTTGGTCATGGACTGTCGCTGCGTCACGTGCCTGAAAAGCGGGTCTCCCGATGCCATTTACCTTCAGGCTACCTACGTTTCAACCGTCCCCCCCACCCCACTCATCCCCCCTTTGCCACCCGCTTCAGCCCCCTTCCACCCGCTATCTGTTTTGGCCATGGTTCGTTAATCTGACAGTGGCTTTTTGCATGATAGCCCGGCATTTCCGTTGCAAAACACTTAGTCGCATACTCGCTCGATGCTTCAGTTTCAGCTCTTCTGCTCCTCGCCCCCCATGAAGCCCCCTCAGAACCCCCCTGCGTCGCCTTCCATGGATGTGTCCTGTAATCCTCCCAGGGCCATCATGCTTCATTGTTGTTGCCCGTTATTATTGTTTACCGCTCTTACGGGAAAATGCTGGCTGAAAAGCTGGGAACAGAGTATTACAGAGGAAGAAATAGACAAATTGTGGCTTGATTAAATCTCTTCGCCCATTAATAACATCAAAGCATTCTCTATGAATTTGTTTACGTTTAGAAAACTTACTTTAAAGTTTCGAGAAATGTAAAGAACTTTATTACTTTCTTCAAAATGTATTTCATATAAATTTATACTTTTTATAAAAAAGTTATTAAAAATCGATGCTGGTCCCTAATTTGTAACTGTGTAATGCAAAATATGCTGTTTCCGTTCATGCTTTTAAGCCTAGGCCCTCCTGCTTTCAACTATCCCCATCGCTCACTCTTTCTTTCTGCGGCTTGGTTCGAATATTTTAAATCGCCTGCCAGGAGACAGCCAGACACCCAGGACAACAACAAGGACAACAACAACACCATCGTTAGCCACGCCCTCCTTTTGTAATTCCCACTTGCATTAAATGCCGAGCAAATGTAAATATGCTCGGGGCCGTCCTCCGTCCCTCTCACACTTTTACGTCCGATGTGTTTGTCCCTTTCGCACGTGGAGAGTCCCGTTGCGTCGCATCCTTTGCAACTGGAGCAGATAAAATGCAGCAGGAGTTCACGTGGCGAAGTATGAAACGATTCCCAATTCCCGTTGGCCCCCTTTCTGCGTCACTCTCAATTCCCAGGTCCTTTCCCACTATGCCACCACCACCCACCACCCCCGCTTTCCATTATCCATCTCCGCTTTTCCCTGTTTGGTAATGACGCGCTTGTGGTTTGCCTTCTGGTCTGACTGCTCTTCGTGGCTGCTGTTCGGGACTGCCTGCTCTGGTCCTCTGGCAAACGTGTGTGTAATTAATGTTTTCCACCTAAAACACAGAGAGAAATTGGCTGAAAAGTACAGTAGAGTAATCGAACAAGTAAAAAGCTCTAAGATGCAGCTTGTGCCCTTCGTTGGGCGCCACTTAGTTGTCTCTTGCTCTTGTGACTTTTGACGCAAGACTTTATTTGATGCGTGTAGCCAAGCATTTTCTCCAAGTGCACAAACGCACTTCATTGCCTTCCGCTTCCATGGGATTTCCCCCTGTTGCATGCCCCATTTTGTGTCCAACAGACCGGTGCAACATGGCGTATAAGTGATTGTATTGTAGGCCTTGTTTATCGGCTGATAAGCAAGACCCAAGGAGCTATGTATTGTCTAGCACATAGACGTTCCTCCTGGGCACTCGACGTCTTTGGCTCCTCTTTCGGCTTTTGTGTGAGTGCGCTTAATTCCTTAAAAGTTATTTACATATTTGCCTAATGTGGCATCCCACTAAGCACTCAGCCAGCCGGCTTAGGTGGGCGAGTGGTTGGGCGGTGGTCGGGTGGTTGGATGGTTGGATGGTTGGATGGTTGGGTGGTGCTTTTTGCGGTTAAGTGTGCTGAGTTGGTTGCCGCTTGGCTTGCCAGTTGGCAGTTGGTTAGTGGGCTCGTCGACTTGCTTGGCCACTGATAAAATTGCTTTTTGGCCCAACAACCCAATCTGTCTGTGATTTAACCGACAATAAGCCGAACCAAATAATAGAAATTCCGGGGTGATTAAATTATCAAATGTTTTAAGTGGGTCCGGAGTTGGTAATGAGATAGAGCGTGCATCAAGATGCTTAATGAAATTTCGCAGAGGATTACAGCAGCTGGTTAAGAAACTGAAGGGGGAACGAGAACGATGGAGGCTTATTAAATATTTAGGAAGGAATTTGGCAGCTTATAGCCAATTATGAATTTATATTAACTTTTGCTTGGTTAAATTTGAGAGAGCTATTTGCAATATAATCCCCTGTTGAAAACTTCATTTGCGGTATTTATCAGAGGGGGTGTTGTAGAATACGATTTTCCACCAATTTAAATGCAGATTTTCCGATAATTTAACCAAAACGTTTAGAATTGACACAGTTGTTCAGCGAATTTAGATTTATTTGGACTTTTAGCTTTATTTGATTCTGGAAGCGCTCTGAATTTAATTGAATATTCATGCAATCTGTTACCGTCCATCAGCAACTATTATTATTTTCATGTTTTAAAATTTGGCTTTCCATGAGACGGGCAGAAAATCCATTGTTATTTTTTGTAATAAATCGTTCAGTTTTAATTTCAAAAAGTCCGTGGAGAATATTCC